CGAGACGTGCGACAACTGCCGCGATGCGGCCAACGCCCAGGTGATCAAGAGGGACGTGACCAAATACGTTCAGGCGGTCATCAGGTCAGTTATCTCCGATCGCTGTGTGTATCTGCAACCACCACAAGTGATTAACTTACGTTCCTTGTCTATGCTCCTCTCATCGTAAAAGGATCGTGCGAGCGATTGGCTCAGGACACACCATGGTGTACGTGAGGGATCTCCTGCGCGGTGCCAAGGACGCCAAGTTCACCGCCAAGCTCAAGCGCTCTGGACACGCCAACGTGCCCGGGAAGGGAGAAGGTACGAAGTGAGTACGAAGAGTGTGCTGGAGACTCTTCAGAGTTGGCTATTTGCGGGCGCCTTACCTACCTTCTCCCTCGCGCGCTACGCAGGAGGCGATCTCACCATCCAGGACATCGAGCGTATTCTGCATTACATGGTCATCGAAAGCATTCTGAAGGAGCAGTTCGAAGTGCAGCAGCCGTATGGAACGGTCATCGCCTACATGCAGGTACGCCCGCGTCACTTCGCGGTGGAAAAGACCGCATTCCACAACAGCCACTAACAGCTCACTCTCTCTCCACGCCTCCACAGATCGGACCGAATGCCGAACGAGTCGAGAGAGGCCAAAAGATTGAGTTGTCGTTCGTCGTTGGCAAGAAGGTTCGTGCTTGTCTGCTTGTGCCGTCTGTGCTGTGGTTGCAGCATCTCGTCTGATGAAATGTCATGGCGCGGAGCAGAAGGCCGTCAAGAGAGTCGAGGCGCCCAAGCAAACCAAGGCAGTGCGCACCGCCGCCGGCCAAATCGATCCACGCGACCTACTCAACGAAGAGATCTTTATGCTCCGACAGCAGGTACGCGTCTACAGACGGGCCGCACTACCCCCCTCCTCTATTATACCGCTAAACGTTTGTCGTCTGCCTGTGATCAAACAGCTTGTGTCCGAGGCGAACCAGGTCAACCTCATGCCCTACATGGTGTTCACTCAAACCGAGATGCGCAACATCGCTGACGCGCTTCCCACGACTCTCAAGGTAAGCAACCATCCCTGAGACGACGCAAGCACGCACGCACAAACCAGCCCACTCACCATGTGTGGTTGTGTAACGACAGGAATTCCAAGCCGTCGGTATGGGCCAAGAGAAGGTCAAGAAGTATGGCCCGCGCGTCATCGAGCTGGTCAAGACGGTACGCACACCACCTCGCCGCACTACACAAGCAATAATGATTGGTTGCTAATCCGGTGCTGCGATCACCAGTTCCTCGCCCAGTACCCTCAGATGAAGCCCGTGGGCAGCGTTGGCTCCTGGGTCACAAAGCGAAAGTATGTAATTGGGCCACCTGCCACCATCATGTCTAGTGGTTTGCTCACAGATAGCTCTCACGCAGGCGAGCGCAAGGAGGCGATCAGGACGATGACGGAAGCGACGACGACTTCAATCCTCCGCCTGCGGTTGGCACCAAGCGGGCCGCTCCCGCGCCCACCACTCAAGCCGCCAAGCGCGTACGCCCGACGCCCGCACCCACCCCTGCGCCGGCCGTCTTCGGCAGGGTTCGCTTCGCCTCCTCCTGCCCTTGCTTTGCTTTTGCTTTGCGTCTGCAGGCCTGCCTTATTGACTCTTCTTCTGCGGTGCAGGCGGCACGAGGCCGAGGCGCAGCGGCGGCGGGTCGTGGCGTCGGGTCAGCTCCGTTCCTGACGAACGCTGTAGGTCGAGGCGGACCGGCGGTTCGCGGCGGCATGGGCGGTGGAGCAGCCGGGCGCGGCATTCGGCCTCTGGTGCCGGTGCCGCTGGCCAAGCAGCAGCAAGCTGCCCAGCGAGGCTCCCCGCTCAACGCCTTCCGCTACAAGGGCGGACGCGGTGCTTGACGATGCTCGCACCTCGTGGTGCGCTGGCACCCAGTCATGTACAGACACACACACACCCCCAAGCCATTGTCTCGCACCGTCAACACGGACAGCTCTTTGTTGGTCCCAATTAGTTGCGTGTTTGTTTGTGAAGAGAAGACGGCGTCGTGCAGGAAGACGACGACTAGTCGGCCTTCTTGGCGGCGGCGACGGCGGCGATGACGGACTTGCGCTTGGGGTAGGGGATGGTGAAGCAGCTGATGCCCAGGTGGTCGGCCAGGTGGCCCACCACGTCGCACACGAAGTGGACATAGATCAGCGCCGTCACGCCCAGCACCCCGTAGAACAGCTGCAGCTCGCTCACCAGCCCGTTGCTGTCAACATGCCCCCCCCCCAGTCAGAGGTGCCGGTTGGCGTGCGCGTGCGGTGTCACACACACACATATACACAACACACACGAGGGAGAGGCGGGTGTACTTGGAGAGGAAGGTGCAGAAGAGAGGACCGACGATGGGGAGAAGCGGGACGGGGTTCCACACGTTGTACTCCGTGCGGGTGATGCGCGCGATCAGCATGCGGTTCTGGCGGGCGCGCCACGAAGAAGAATAATTAACCAACGATGAGCGAACGCCAAACGAAAAGGTAAAGAGGTCGCCGTACGAGAATGTAGGAGAACTGGAGGCCAGCGAAGAAGATGGCGGCCGTCGTGTAGTTCTGCAGCAGGTTGACTGCAATATTCAAGAATTATATATATTGTATATATAATGAGTATACCCACCGATGATGTTATTGACTTGATCGTTTCTATCGCATGAAAGGAAGGGGCGTACTCTTGGAGAGGTGGAACCAGGCGGTGGAGGACAGGCCCGAAGCGGCGAGCGGGAAGAGGAGCAGCAGCGAACGCAGGAGGTTGGACTTGTGCTTCTTCACGTTACGCAGTACTACCACCGTGCTGCACAATCACATGGGCCACGCACGCGCCAGTAAGCGGTGTGTGCGATGTGTGTGTGTTGCGTGTGTGGTGTGTCGTGTGTGTGTGTGTGTGTGTGTGTCGTTGCTGCGAACGTACTTGACGAAGGCCATGGTGAAGCCACCGATGAAGAGGAGGCCCAAAATGGCGTTGGTGACGGAGAGGTCGGGGAGGTCGGCCGCCAGGCTCTCCACGCCCAGCGCCGTCTTCCACGACGTGCTCCACATCGCCGGTCCTGCGCGTCAAAGCCCCCCAAGTTGTGCGAGTGAGTGCGTGTGTGTGCGTGTGTGTGTGCGTGCGTGTGGTGTGTGCGATGAAGCGAGGTGAGGGGGTACCCTTGATGGCGGCGGTGAGGAGGAGCGCGCACATCACGAACTGGCCCTCGGTCGGGTTGGCCAGCACGCCCAAAATCAGCTCTCCCGTGTGATACCTACCGTACGTAGGTACCAGCAAAAACCCAAACACCCATCAATACCGCACGACACACACACAACACACATATATACACACACACACAGCACGACAGGTATATAGGAGAGACCAAAGGTGAATTTCGTACTCTTCCCAGTGGGCCATGAAGAAAGGCATGGCCGTGGCCCAGAAGCCGGCCCACGCGGTCCACGGGCCCAGGTGCATGGCGTTGAACATCAACACGCCGGCGAACTGCAAAAACAAAACAAAACAAAACAAAACAAAACAAAACAAAACAAAACAAAACAAAACAAAAAACAAAAAAATTTGAAATGAAATGAGAAATCAGAGTGCAACAAATTATGTTGAGGGGGGGTGCAAGCGTACGGGCACGAAGAGCGAGTCGCAGCCGTGGTCGAAGAGCTCGCCGAGCGGGGACGACGTGCCGGTCCGTCGAGCCTGTCGGCCGTCGATGTTGTCGAAGATCTGTGTGTGCGGTGTGTGTTGCGCGCGCGCGAGTGAGCACCACCGCACACGCCTGATAGCACGAAACGCACGACACGACAGGCACACGGGGGCGGGGCTGGAGTTACTTGGTAGGCGTAGACGCCGAGGGCGGCGAGGGCGTAGACCCAGGAGGGCGCCACGCAGCCTACGGTGTTGGGGCAGTAGTAGAGCAGCGAGATCATGTTGGCCACGATGCAGATCAGCCCGCACAGCGTAATCTACGTACGTCATGTGTGCGTGTGCGTGTGCGCGTGCGCGTGCGCGGTGTTAAGACGAACGCACGCGACCCCGCACACAGAACCAGTGTCGCCGCACGTACCAGGTTGGGCCTGCGCATACGACACACACACACACACGCACACACACAACGAGGAATTGAGAAAGCAGAAGAAGGAAGAAGGAAGATGAAGAAGATGAGCGTACGCCATCCAGATGGGGAAGAAGGTGACGGTGCACCAGTCCCAGTGGCGCTTGAGGAAGAGGTTGGCGAGGAGGGACTTGTCGGTGCCCGAGTAGCGGTAGTACTTGAGGTTGTGCAGACCCTCGGCGCTCAGGTAGGTCGACGAGGACTTGCCGCCGCGCGAGCTCCTCTTGGTCTTCTTCACCTTCTGTGTCGACATTACGATGCTTGCTTGGCGCCAACAAACATTAGATCAATCAATCATTCATTAATTAATAAATGTTAAACATTTATAATTTATGAAAAGGAGGGAAGCAAGCATGAAGGTGGGGAGGAGGGTGAGAAGAAATTGAAAATCAACTCATTGGAATTTTAGCGTCAAGCTTCGCGTCGATATCGATGAACAAAGTGGTCACAAAGATCACTGAAATCTTCGTGAAGGTGGGTACCCACCTTGTGTTGCTAAGAATGAAGGATGGAAGCCAAAGCACAGGACTGTTGTTCGCGTCAGCTCTTTACTCCCACAGAACTCCGGAGAATTGAAAAGAAATTGCATTTCTTCCTTTCCATCTTTGTTAATTAATCTACGATCAAGACTGCGCCTGGGCCAGCTCCACTCCTCTTTCGTTCAGCTCACCGAACCCAACAATCACAGGGCAAAGTGGCGGTGGATGAGGGTCAGGGTGTCGGCGAGCTCGTCGACATCGGCGCTGATCTCAAAGGCCTCGACGGCCGCACGCAGCGCTCGGTGGGCCTCCTGCGGCGGCTGCCCAAAGAAGCCCCGGGCCAGCCCGGCCGCAGACACAGCCTCGGCCAGACCCGCCACCGCCTCCGTCGTCGTCTTCGTTGAAGGCTGGGCCGCTGCCTGTTGGAGATACCACGGAGTCGGGCTGCTGAACTTGGCCTGCTGGAACTGCTGCTGCTGGAGGAGTTGCTGCTGGAGGTGTTGCTGTTGGAGGAGTTGCTGCTGCTGAACGAGTTGCTGCTGAAGGATCTGCTGCTGAAGGAACTGCTGCTGGAGCTGGTGTGGTTGATGTGGCACCTGGAGAGCGGGCCGGGACGTCTCTTGTTCTTCTTCGTCGACTTCCTCTTCAGAGTCCCCTTCCGATTCCTGCGGGCTGTTGTCGTATTCGTCGTCGTCGTCATCGTCAGAGATGGCTCCCCGCTTGGCCGGGGCGGTGCGGCCCTCGAAGGCGTTCTGCACGAGGGCCTGGGCCTTGGGCGCCAGCTTCTCGAACCCGAACAGGAACGATTCGGCCGTGGTGCTCCCATCGCGAGGGAAGTTCTTTACGCATGCGTGTACCGGCCAACTATGTGAGTCGTCACCCGCAGCAACACAGAGCCAGACGCAACGGGGGCATGTGTAGAAACAGACGTGGTGAGTGGGCACGAACCGGGAAGCAGTCGACGTGGTACCAGAGGTAGCCGCTGTGGTCCCGGTCGTACTGCTGGCCTGCAGAAAAATAAAATGCAAAATTATCAGAAAAAATAATCAATAAAGAAGTCGAGTAGAAGGCACATTGTTGATGGATATAGAGGAAGAGGAAAGAGGAAGGGCGGGGCGGGATATAGGCACCGATGCGAACGGCTCCGTTGGGAATCTGTCGCGAGCAAGCCTTGCACTAGATGATGAAAAAGATGGCCTTGAGCATTGCGTAAAAGCAATTTGGAAGAGTTCAGAGACAGTACCTGAGAACGAGCACTCTTGGCGTACTCGACGCAGCACGGGAAGTCGCCGCCTCCACCCCGGCTCGGGACAGTAGCAGCGGACGGTAGCTGTAAAACAGGCTGCGCAGTCCCCCACGAGGGCGTCCCAAAGGCGACTCGCGAGGCGTCCATAGGCTTGCGTGGCGCTTTTCCTCCTGTTGACTTACGCGCGGTTTGCTTCGTCCTGGCCATCTCTTCGCTCCCGATCTGTTCAACTGTTTCCCTACTACCCTTCGATCTTGGGTTCGATTTGTGGATGGCTGCCGCGCTTTTTTTGTTTTTGTTTGGCCCATAGTTCTTTTCCTCGAATCAATTTTTGCTTAATTAATTAAATTGGCCGATTTTCCGATTCACGGCTGCGGGACGGCGCCTTCTTCCTCGAGCTTCTGCGCCTGGGGCTGCTCGGCGTGGATGGCGCTGGTGGCGTAGTACCGCACGTCCCGGTCCCGATCCTGGGTCAGCTTGGCCAGCATGTCCCCCACGTCCTTCCGCCCCTTGTAGGCATCTGATATTACACACGACACACACGACACACGCACACAGGCAGCGCGCGTGAAAAGGCCACCCCCCACGCACACGGGCCAATGGTGTCGCAGCAGACACCGAGAAAAGAGGGGGAGTACCCTTAGAATACAGCTTCGCGACCACCTGCGACACGGCCACCCTCACGTTGGGCACCTGGCAGGCAAGGAGCAAAAACGCGGTCAGCACGTCACAGCACGCACGCCCGATGAAAGAAAGACGGAAAGAAAGAAGTGCAGGGTGCTGGTGGGTACCTTGTCGATGGCGAGTGCAAAGAGGTGGGGGAGGAAGGTCTCCACAAAATACTCGGGACTCACGTCGTCCACGATGGCACCGCAAATATTGACATACCTGGCATACCACACCATACCACACCGCACCATTTCCCAGCGCCACACACACACACGCGACCGGTTAGAAGTCATCTACGACGTTGAGATAGTTACTACGAAGAAAACGAGAGCGAGAAGACGCAGACGTACATTTGGCGGTCGAGGTAGGAGGTGTCGGGGAAAGTCGAGGCGAACGCCACGATCTGCTCCACGTACTCGTCGCGCATCCGCTGATCGCCTTCGGCCACGCGCCGCATCAACGGACCCACCTGACATGTACCCCCCCCCGCGCGCAGCGGCCACGGTGTGAAAGGTGGTGAGTGTCGGTACAGGGTCAGGGGGGTGGTTGCATAGGGCAACGTAACGTACCGACATGTAGGCGGCCTTGCGCACGCCGGAGACGGCGTCCTGGCACAGCTGAAGCGAGATGGGCACCAGGTGCTTGTTCACCACCGGCGCGCTGTACAGCGCACTCAGCTTCCCCAATTGTCTGTTGTTGCAGGTGGTGCGCGTAGTGAGTTGGGGAGTGCCACTGGCCGTTAGCAGCACATTCATGAATGCACCACCGCACACGCACACGCACACACGCACGCGCACGCGCGTGGTGAACGAGAGCGTTGCAACGAACCTGGCCATGAGCTTCCGAAATCGCCAGTTGGACGTCTCGTTGGTGATGTCGCACACGAGCGGCAGGTATTTCTGGGAAGAGTGAGAGAGAGAGAGGAAGAGAGAGAACGCGTGGAGAACATCGATGTGTTGTGGTTAGCTCCCAAAACGTCGGTGTGCTTGAGCGTGAGTGAAGTGTGGCACCTCTCGCGAGGCCTCCGACAGGACAGACAGAAACTCGCTGATGTGCTTCACCACGCCCACCTTGACCTGTACCCAGTACCACCGCTGCTCGTCAGCTGGCAGTGTCGTGTGTGTGTCGTGTGTGTCTGGTTAAAGAAAAAGCACCTCGTCCAGGTCCTTCATGAAGAGCTCGAAGAAGGGGCAGAGGTCCTTCTCGGTGAGCTCCTGGCCGAGGATGGCGGCCACCTCGTGGAGGGCGTGGGCCAGCGGTCGCCGCACCTTCCACTGGAGGTCCTTGACCAGGGCCTCGTAGGTGGCCTTCACCTCGCCCCACCGATCGCGCCCGATCGTGTAGATCACCGCCGGAAAGTCGAACGCGCAGTAGTTCACGATCTCGGCGTCGCCGTACTTGGTGGCGGCCGTCGGGGCCACCATGCCGTTGTAGAGCTGCAGCAGCTCCGGCGTGACCGCGCGGCCCTCGAAGGTCGCGATGAAGCGGCCCAGATTCTGGAACGCCGCGCTCCTCACCCATCGCGACGTCTGCGCGTGTGTCATGTGTGTTTTTAGTGTCGTGTTGTCGTGCGTGTCGTGCCGTGTCGTGTCGTGTCGCGCGGTGAGTGCTGGCGTACGTCGTCGACGAGCTTCTCGAAGATGGGGATGAGTTTGGAGGCGCGCTCCTCTGCGGTGATGGACTCGGAGAGGGCGACGAGGCTCTCGGCGCAGGCCTTACGCACGCCCCAGATCTCGTCGTCGGCCATCTTCACGAACAGGGGCACGAGCTCCCGCGAGATCACCTCCTTCGGCACCGCCTGCGCTATGTTCCCTATCCTCCCCGCCACAGCCTGTTGTGCACACGACACACACACACACACACACACACACACAACACGACACACGACACACACACAACCGCACACAACCGCACACAACACACATAGCCGATGAGCAACCAGAGGAGGAACGCTGTGCAGCTGCACTTGTTACCTTACGAACGCGGAAAGTGTCTTCCGAGAGCTTGAGCAGGAGCGGCAGCGCAAACTCGACGCACAGCTCGGGTCCCATGATCGGCGCCAAGTGGTGCACCAGCTGGTGGCCGTGACGGCGGTGGCGGACAACTGTGAGTCGCGGAATTTCATACAAGGTCTGGCATTTCAGGAATGGGAACGATGCGCACCTGCGCGGCCTCCACGCGGTACTCCTCCTGGGTGGTGTCCTTGCCGAGGGTGGTGATGATCGGGAAGATGTGCTCCGACAGCAGCTGAGGCCCGCCCAGCGGTGGCTTCGCCAGGGCGCTCGCAATGCTCACCACCGACTCGGTTGACGACAGCCGCACCTGTACGCCCACAACCACGGCACGATGAGCTCTTCGTGCTCCACGGGCACCCACGCACGCGGCCACACACACCTGCGAGTTGACATCTCGGGTAAAGTGGGCGACGATGGGCAGGAGCGCCTGCACGACCGTGTCGAGAGCGGCCTCCTTCCCCTCCTATGTGACACACACACACACACATTGTGATTTTATACAGTGCTTTGGGTTAGTAACATCCATGGCATGGGCGCTCTCGCCGAGAAGAGTGTCGCGGTGCCGGTGGCTTAGGAAGAGACGGTGCGTGCCTGGAATAAATAAGCGGCGATGTGCGGGATCTGCTCGACCAGCGCCTGCCGAATCACCGGCTCCACGTCCTGTTGCAGCCACATGGGCAAAACAGACGAACAACGGAATTCGAGACATGTTAGTTCAAGCGGCCAGCAGTCTCTCCGGCGAAAAGCGAAAGAGAGAGGAGGGGGGGAGAGATGGGAGGCAAAGAGCGAAAGAGACAGAGAGTGGATGGCCAGATGATGAGTGAGTGCGTACGCGTTGGATTTCTTTGAGGTAGGGGAGCAGCTGCGAGACGGTGTCCTCATAACCCACCTCCTTCGCGTACTCTGACAGCTCGCGCACCAGGTACAGCCTACGTGTGTGCGGTGGTGCGTGTGCGTGTGCGTGAGAGAGTAAAAGAGAATGGGGGAGCACAAGGCAAGGGTACCGGTGGAGGATGAGGTCGCTGTTGATGTATCGCCTGATCTTCTCCAGCGCGCCGAGGGTGTCATCGATCTCGAGGTCCTCCTCCTGGTTCCCCGACGCTGCCACCCACAACAACGAGGTACCGATCATTGAGGCAAGTGTGTACCCGCAGCAGCACAGAGCACCCCAACAAATGCGCGCGAACGTAGAGAAACAAGAGAGAAAGAGAGAGATGAAAGAAGACGTAGAGGCATGACCGTCTCGCAAGAGGAATTCAAAAAAAAAGGAGTATTACTGGAGGAGGGGGCGGTACCATCATCATCTTCCCCCTTGAAGCTCAAACTTGAGAGCATATCTGCGATATCTTGAATGAAGAAAAATGCCTTTCATGAATATGACGAAGCCATGCTACAAAATCTAGAGGAAGTATTAAAAAAATTGCCAAAATTGTGGAGGGGGCAACGAACCCGTCATGCTGTCCTTGACTTTAGACACTAATTGGCTGAGTTGAAGCATCCACCGCTCACCACGTCAAAATCGTCGGGCGTAATCGGGGCCTCGTTTATGGCGTTTTTACTCCTCGATGTCTCGCAGACAGGAGCAGCGCGTTGTTGGAGAAAGACGATGAGAAATGCGTTCACGATCAACGACGCCCCAACGTGCTTTAATTCGTTGATCTGTGCCGATGCCTTGCCTCTCTCGTCCCCCCTTCTTTTGAATGCTCCTTTCGTAAAGTGTTTCCGTTTCAGCAATTTTTTTTAACTTGTGGCCTTCTCGCGGCACCAGCGCACGGCAGGAACATGGACGTGTCACCAGGGGGGCGGGATAGTCTCGCCTTCGCGTCGTTCCTTCAAAACGCTGACCCTGGCTCCACCAAGGTCTCCTCTTCCGGCCCATTAATCTCGTGGTTTCTGCTGCGCAATCATTGTATTTTTATTTTTATTTTTATTTATTTTTTATAAATAAAAAAATAGAAGAATACTAACACCCTATGGGAATGAACCACACAGGCGGTGCGCACTGCGGCCCTGTTGGACTTCTCCCGCCTCACAGCGGAAGAAGCACGCACCGGCCAGCGCGAGATCACCGCCGACCCGAGCGGTCGCATCGTGGGCCTCCACACCGCCTTCGATCAGCGCACGTTGGCCCTCCCGCCCGTCGTTCCTCTCTTGCTCGCTCTCACTTCCGTGGCCCGCAACCTACAACAACTACTCTAACAACAAATATTACATGATCTCGCTGCTGGCGCTACCCAGGTTCGAGTTTGACTTCGTCACATCCAAGCCGCACAGCGATGCCACGTACGTCCACCTCCTTGGCGCCCGTGTACTGTGTGCGCGCGTGTGTGTGTGGTGCCCATAGGCTCATGATACATGGGCTGGTCAACAGGAAAAAGCGGATCCTGAGCGAGGGCCTGGCGGCGATGGGCCTGGCAACCGGCGGCGCTGGTCACGGGGACGATCACCACCACCGCCACCTTCACGCGGAACACAACGAAGAAGGGGAAGCGGACGACGGCACCGCGTACCTGCGCGATTGGACCATGGTGTGCCTGGGCAGCGCCTCTCAGCCGCTCCTCAACTGGGGCCTGGGACCCCTCTTCGCCGTACTGCCCCCCTTCCCTGCTGCTGCTGCTGCTGCCGCTGACTAAGCGTCAGCGACTTGCGGCATCTGGTAACGAACTAACATTACGCACGTGTGGTGTGCGCGTGTGTCGTGCTGTGCGCGTGTGCGCAGGAGGGGGCTTATCAGTCCGGAGAGGACGGGGAGCGAGAGGCGTGCTACCTCCCCGCTTTGTACGGCCCTGCTCGCCGCCCTCATTGCTCCTCCTCTTCGCTTGGACCTAACCGCCTCTCCACATCTTCCGGCCTTTTTATTTTATTATTTTTATTATTATTTTGTTCGTTCCACGGTGAGTCCAGTTCTGGGATCTTAAGCGATGTGTGCTCCGGTACACACACGACACACACACTACACACCGCACACGACACACACAACACACAACCCACACTTTCTCTGACGTTCCATCGTCGCTCATTTCTTTTTCTGCTTCTCGCACGGGGTAGGACTGCTGAAGGTGGATTTTGCGGCCAGTGTGTACCTGGCGGCCTTCGAGATCGGTACACCAACCAATGCCCTCCTTGCCCGCGCGCCCCCTTTTTATTTTACGGCTGCGCTCCTCAGTTCGGTGCTCGCTCATCTCAGCCTTGCGCCCCCTCAATGCCTTTCCGCCCTCGTGTGCGTGTGTGCGTGTGTGCGTGTGGCGGTGCGTGGTGCGTGACACTCGTGATGCCATCAGTCAATGACGCGGTGCGGGAGTTGTATTCGGGGCGGCAGCTCAACACGTTCGAAAAGAGCGATGGGGATGTCATCGTCGAGGTGCGCCCTCCCCATCCACTCCTTCCCCGTCTTTTTTCGCATCACGGGGGCTGCACTCTCACACAGCTGCGCGCATGGGGTGTGATTGGTCGTGTCCAGGGCCTGCCTACACACCGGGTAACGTCGCTCGAGGCCTTTTGGCGCCTCCTCACCCTGTGCCTCCAGAACTCCTCGGCAAAGTTATCCTCGCTCCCCTTCTTCGTTCTTTTTCGTTCTTCGTTCTTCTTCGCTTTCCTTTTTGTTTTCACAAAAGGCTCGCGCTGACGTTTCGTGCGTGGACGTGATTGGCGGGCAGGCGCGGGGGCAAGCTCAAGTCGCACCTGTTCTTCAGGCTGCTCCTGCGGCCCGAGGCCCCGGCGCCCCTTGCGGCTGCTGGTGGCGGCGGCGGCGGCGGCGGCGGAGCTATCATCGGGAGCGGGACGAGCGCGCCCTCTTCGCCCTCCTTCCTCCGCACGCCGCCGCGCAACCCCGCCGCCGGCTCCTCGTCGGCAGCCGCGGCCGCGACGCTCAATTCGTCGCCGCCGCGTCTCGTGTCGCCCACCCGCACCGCCGAACGAACGCCCAACCGGAGCCTCTTCGAGCGCTATCGCGAGTGCCTACTCCCTCTCTCTCACACCTCTGCTTGACTCCGCGCCAGCCAACACGGGGGGGGGTTTTTGGGGGGGGTGCGTAGGATGGAGCCGTCGATGCTGCTGTCGCCCATTCACCCGCCCCAGGACACCGGACTCTACACGCCCACCCTCAGCAGGTTACCCTCTTCTCTCCTCCCCCCCCGCCCCGTGCGTGTCGTGTGCGCCGTGTGTATGTGTCGTGTGTGTCGTGCGTGTCGTGTGCGCCGTGTGTATGTGTCGTGTGTGTCGTGTGTGTCGTGTGTGTGTGTGTGTGTGTGTGCGTGTATGTGTGCGCGCGCGCCACGTGAGCTGTGGTGTAAGCAACTGATTTGATTGGTTGGGGATGGGGGGGTTACAGTTTTCCGGGGTTCGGTGGGGAGCGGCCCAAGTCAACGCTGGCCTCCCCGATGTGGACGCCGCGCGGCTACTCCCTCGCCAAGCAGAGGTACCGCTCTCTCTCTCTCTCTCTCGTGTGTTGTGTGGTGTGTGTGTGTGTGTGTGTGTGTGTGTGTGTGTGTGTGTGCATGCGTGCGTGCGTGTGTGCCTGCGCGCGTTTCGTGGTGCTAGGCGTGACCCGCGTGAGCCCGCAGGTCGGCGTCGGCGAGGGACGAGAAGGCGGGCGGCATGTTCGAGCTGGTCCTTCTGGCCCCCTTCGACGCCATGAAGCGCTCCGGTACACTCTCTTCCCACCCCATTCTTGTCTGTCCGCGCGGCACGCAATTCACACTATCATCCGCTATGCGTGTGTACATATGTGCGTGTGCGATGACGCAGATCAACTAACCAAGGAGGAGAGCGCGGTTAAGCGAGCGCTCATGAACCTCAGCCTCATGATAGGTGCGCAATAATAATAATAATCATCAACCACCGCACCAGGCGCTGCTGACGTCAGCGATTGGGGGGGGACTGCAGACACGCTGAAGGGGCGCGGGGGTGCCGGCTCGGCGGCGGCGGCGGGTGCGCTCGGGTGGCGGTCGTCGACGCTCACGCACCTCCTGAAGCGCGCCCTCACGGCCACCCCGCAGCAGGGCGCCGGCCTCCTCCACATGGTCGCCCTCACCGAGCCCATCCCCTACTCCCTCCCCTTCAACGCCGTACGCTCCCCTCCCCCCTCTCTCCTCCCGTCACCACGCGCCACGTGGCCTGAATTCACACACGCTTTCTCTGTGCGTGTCGTGTCGTGTGCGCGTGTGTCGTGTGTCGTGTTGCGTGTCGTGCGGCAGTGGGCGTTCCAATTGGTGTCGTCGAGCGGCTCGAGGCGGGACGAAGCGGTGAGCCTGTCGTCGATCCAGGTGAGCCCCATCCGCATGTCGCCCGCCCGCAGCCCCGACGCGCCGCCGTCCACCAAGGCCGCCAATGGCGTCGCCAGTAAATCGCCGGCGAAGCCGGGCGACGTCGCCCTTGGCAACAGCCACAACGCCGGCGGCAGCGACAAACAGGTTGGCGACAGGGAGGAGAGCCGCGAGAAGGAGCTGCGGCGGCTGCGGAAGCAGGTGGCCCTCCACAAGACGAGGGAGCAGCTGTGGGAGAGGGAGCGCGAGCGGCTAACGCGCGAGGCCGCGGCGGCCGAGGCATCGGGGCAGCGCATGCGGGAGCGGGAGGAGCAGCTGCGGCGGGCACTCGAGGCCGGCAACGCGACGTCGCGCGCCCTGCAGGACAAGCTGCGGGCGGTGAGCGCCCAGGCGCGCGAGCGGATCGACGGCCTTCAGCGCGTCGTCGAGGCCTACCACCAGCAGCACGCCCAGCAACAGCACACCGTCGCCTCCCTCCAGGCGCGTCTCCTCGGTAACCACCCGTTTTTCCCCTGCAACGTTGAGATGTAACTGTCGATACCAGGCAACTGCTGATATATCAGCCGTTCCGTTGTTACATGTGCGACGGGTCGTATGCCTATATATCAGATGCGGAGCGCGAGCTGGCTGCCCATCGTGCCAGGGAGGGCGTGTACGCCGATTTCCGGAGCCTGGTGGCCAAGCAGGCGGAGGACATGGCCGCGTTCAACCGCAACCTGGCCGCGCTCGACGGCGCGGTGGCCGAGGAACCGTCACATGGCCGCGACGACGCTGACAACAATGACGACGGCCACGGCCACGGCGACAGTGACGATGACGATGGCGATGAGGGCCAGCGGGGCGGCGACAACGCGGACCAAGGCGTGGAAGTGGACGTGACCACCGACGACGAAAGCGTGAGCGTGATGACGCGGATGCAGGAGCGCGCGAGGCGACGTCGGGGCCACGTCGATCATGACTACGACGACGACAACGACGACGAGGAAGCGGCGACGCCGCGACGTGTGGAGGAGATGATGGCCGGCCTGCACCTGCGAGCAGCGCGCGGCCTGGACCAAAGAGGCGGAGGCGGCGGCGGTGGTGTTGGGACGAAGCGGAAGGAGACGACGGGCGTCGTGGCTACGCCCACCCATGTCGACAAGCGGACGCGACAGCGCTCGCCCTTCCCTCCGACGCCCGCGCAACCACTTCCCCGCGGCGGCGACACGAACAGCGCCGCGAGTGCGACAAGAGATGACGAAAACAGCGAAGGAGAAGAAGAAGAAGAAGATGGCGAAGAGGAAGAAGAAGCAGAGGTGGGAGACAAAGGCAGAAGGGAGCAAGGACTCTGGCACGGCACCGGCGGGGCGGAGGAGGTCAAGCTAGGAGAGCTGTACTCGACCATCGATGGCTACCTCCACACCCTGTCGTCCATCAGGGACAGCTTCACCTCTTCTTCGCCCACCAGTGGCAGTCGCAATGCGACGCCCTGATCCAGGAGTGGCAGAAATACACGTTCTTGGCTGTGAAAGTTAACTTATCATAGTTTTCTGATTGCTTGGATTCTACGTTGGGCAGATCAAGGTGTGCTGACACCGTCCAACTACAACTACTACAAGACACAAATGAAAACACGGCCAAGCATGTGTGACACACATTGAGTGTGAAATTCCGAAGGATTCGCCATTTCCTTTATCTTTTCTCCTTCTTTTTTTTGTTTGTGCAACCAACACCCACCTGAAGACAAGCGAAAGGAGGAAGTCGCCGCAACAAAACATAGGAGCAAAAAATGGCGACGCCGGCCACCCAACCCCGGGTGCTGCCTCAGGCGCCCCTCCCGCGCCTCCCCACCACCGCGGCGGCGGCGGGTGTTGATGCGAGGGGGTTCTCGGGCGTTTCTTCTTCGTCGCGTGGGGCGACCCAACCAGCACCGGCCCCCGCCGCCGCCTCGGCTCCCGCGAAGGGCGCGCGTCCCATGCTGGACCTGGCCATCCTCTGCGTGGCGCCATCTTCTTCGCCCGCGCCGTCTGGCCCCTCCTCATCATCTGCGACGGCTCTGTCGTCGGTGCTGTGGCGCCTCCCGAGCGACGCCACGGTGCACCCGCACCTGCCTCAATTCTGCTTCCCTGAACTCTCCGCCTCTTCTTCCTCTTCTTCCGCCTCCTCCCTGGTCGCCTCCTCCCACCCTGATTGGTATCACCCCCCCCCCAAACAAATCCCTCTTTACTTATTTTTTACTTATTTAAAATATAATTTATATTCTATGCCGCGACAACGTGAGCCGCAGAGTACTGAAATTTTTTTTCTTATTCTATTGTAGCACGTATTTCTTATTATTCTTATTATTTATTTATTTGTTTGTAAAAATATGTCCTAACTGGCGGTGAGTAGGGAGGACTTCACGTTTACGTTGACTGATGCCGAGGGCCAGCGCCAGTACGGGTTCTGCCGCCGCTTCACGCCGCCGCTCCTGCCCCGCTCCCCCGGCGTCGAGGAGGCCGCCAAGGCCGGCGCCCACACCGCCTGCCTCTGCCTCCTCTCCCACCAGTACACCACCCACCACCCACCACCCACCACCCACCACCCACCACCCAAAAAAAAACCACCCCACCACCCCACCACCCCACCACCCCTACCACCCACCACCCACCACCCACCACCCACCACCCACCACCCACCACCCACCACCCACCACCCACCGCTCGCGACTAAGCCCAACTCTCTTCTTTTTCTTTTTCTGTTTCTTTGCTTCTTTTACTTCATTGCAGCGGGTGGTTCGGGCCGATGGAGCAGGTGCTGGACGCCCTGTACCGCACCCTGGCGCTGGAGCGGCACCCGGCACTCCCGCAGGCGCCGACCATGGACGACCTCCTCTCGCACGCTGGCGCCTTCGTGTCCGCCCTCCTGGCCTCCCCTCTCCCCGCCCCCGGTACGCCACCGCCAGCCTGCCCCCAGTGCCAATGCGCATTGTTCTCATTCCAACATTCCGTGTCTGTGTGTCGTGTGCGTGTCGTGTGCGTGCCGTGTGTGCCGTGTGTCGTGTCGTGTTGTTGAGCTCAGGCGAACCGTTTGCCGACTACAAGGCCAGCTGCAGCGAGTTGCTGGTCCCGCCTCCATCGGAGCGGCTCGAACTGCTGCGACCGATGGACAACGAGGGCACCCTGCCCATCACCCACGTACACACCTCTCTTTTTCACCACGCCGTGTGCGTGCGCCACACTGCCACTGCCACCCACATGTGGCCAACACTCGCGATCGCGTCGTATGTGCCGTGTGCGGTGGTGTGCGTGCGTGCGATGTGCCGTGTGCGATGTGACATGACACACAGGGGATGATGAAGAGCCTGTTCTCGTCGCTCCTGGTGCTGCGGGTGCTGCTGCTGTTCACGGCCCTCCTGTCGGAGCGTCGCATCATCTTCCACTCCCACTCCATCCAGAAGCTCTCCCACGCCACCCACGCCGCCTCGTCCCTCCTCTACCCCTTCTCCTGGCAGGTACTACTCCACTCCCTAACCCCCTCACCCCCCCTCCCCCTCACCCGCAGGAAATAACCTCGTGTCGTGCGCGTGTCGTGTCATGTGCGCAGCACATATTCGTGCCGGTGCTGCCGCGAGGGCTGATCAACTACTGCGAGGCGCCGATGCCGTTCATCGTGGGGCTGCTGTCGTCGCAGCTGCCGCTGGTCAAGAAGATGCACCTGGAGAGCGTGGTGTTCGTGGACCTCGATGGCAACTCGATCAACGCCAACATCGAGGACGCCGCCATCCTGCCCCGCGAGCACGTCACCCTCCTCAAGCAGACCATCGAAGACGCCCTCTACACCGACAACCGTACCACCCATCACCACATCTTCGTTCTTTTTCTTCTTCTTCTTCGTTCTTTTTCTTCTTCGTTCTTGGTATTCACGGGAGCTTCTCGCACGCGCGCAGGTTCGGAGCAGGTCCGGTTCAAGGTGGTCCAGCATGCATTCCGCGAATTCTTCCTCTCCATGCTCGCCGGTTACCGCCGGTACACTGCGCCTCAGCCCACCACCAGCGCACCACCACCAATTCACCAATTCACCAACTCACCACCAATCGCTCTTCGCCACGTGGGGTGCCCCACCAGGTACATGGTGCCGAGCATGGACCAGCCGCGCAGCGAGCCTGAGTTCCGGTTCGACCGAGGCGCCTTCATCCGCAACCACCCCAAGAAGTCGGTCCGCAAGGTACTTTACCCAGCTGTTGGCACACCTCCGCCAACAAACATATAAAAACAATTTATAAAATAAAATATTATTTGGGACTCACCGGATCCGGTCGCTTTGCGTGTGTGTGCGGTCGTGCGTGTGCCTAGTTTCTGTCGGTGTTCTGCCACTCGCAGATGTTCACCCAGTTCATCTCGGAGCGCGAGGCCTGGGCCAGTCGCGTAAGCTTTCCTCCCCTTTCTCTCCCCTCTCAACCACATCACATGCGTATCACTCACTCCGCGCAATTCTCCACACTCCGGTCGTGTGTGTCGTGTGTGTCGTGTGCGCACACATGCTACAGGGACAGCAGCCGCAGGGGCTGTTTGAGCGCGAGGTGCAGGCCTACCAGGACCTGGGCGCCCAGAGCGGCCTCGGCGGCGGCGTGTCGGGGGGCGCCGGTGGTGCCGGCGGCGGCGGCGGGAACAAGAAGGAGAAGCTGCGCACGTTCCTGAGCCAGAAGAGCGAGGAGGCCAAGGCCAAGCTCGCCGACCTCCGCGAGGAGGGCGAGAAGCGCCTCGAGAAGATGCGCGAGGAGAAGCGCGGCGGCGCCCGCTACGATCGCTACGACCACCACGACCAGGCGCCCAGTACGCAACCATCATCAGGCAACATTCCGTTCATTTTTTTGCGTCGTCAGCTTTGAATTCCTCTCACGGCCATGCGTTTTCTCGCACGTTCTCTCTCGTGTGTGTGTGTCGACACAGCCGTAGCGATCGGCGCGCCCTCGTTCGTCTCCCACACCAGCGGCCTGCCCCGGGGCACCACCGCCGCCACACGCGGCCCGGCCCCCGGCGCCGCGCTCACTTCCGGCGGAGGTGTGCCGGGCCGGCCCCACGGTGTCGGCCGAGCGCCGGCCGCGTTGCCCAACCCCACCGCCAAACCGCCCCCTCTACCGGCCCGCCCCGCCGGCGGCGTACAAAGCGTACCCCTCAATCCCTTCCACCATTGGTTCTCTTTTAAATTTTTAAATTTTTAAATTTTTCCCGATAGGCGCGCGACTTTTGGGAGAATAAGGGCGGACCCGAGCAGCAGCAGGAGCCGATGACGGCCGCCGAACGGCGGAAGACCCTCCCGCCGCTGCCCAACCGGAACGCTCTCTCCAACTCCGGAGCGGCCTCTCGCACTCCCGCCGCCGGCGCCTCCGCTCCCGAACCGACACCGGCGCCGATGACGTCGACAGCACACGCGACACGTGGCACGCCGACGCCGACAACACACGCGACACGTGGGGCACCGACGCCGACGTCGGTGCTGGCGCCCAGCCCGACGCCCGCGGCCCTGCCGCCGATTGCGCGGGCGCGGATCGTGCGGCACGACCACCCGCCGTTCGAGCTGCGGGTGCCGTTCGACCTCGTCCACGCCTACTTTGGCCCCGACGCGCCCCGTGACG